AAGCTCTTGTTCTCACAAAAATGCATGCAAACTGTTAACGGGGCACATGCCAGCTGGCAACCAGCCTGTTTTCCTCCACACTAGTTGTGACTCCCTCTGCACCCCACGTGCCCTCTTCCCTCCTCTCCCCCCAAACCCTGTTTTTGGAAAGCAGAATGTGCGGCAACTCCTCTGCCATTTGCTTCACGCACCTGCTTTCTTCAAAGAATGCGCAGTAGCAGCAGGTAGATGAGGACGTTCAGCAAATACATATCTTAATACCTACTACTGCGACTAGCTCCTGAATGGTGCAAAGGCAAAATCATTTGATCCTCTCAGATCAGTGATGAAGTTTAGATCGCGAGCTACTATGAACAGCAGGCATTCAGAAGTAAGATCATTTCTACCAATAGCTCAGCAGCGCATAAAACGCCTTAAAAAGTATTCGGGTCCCTGTTGCTTTCACAATTTGTTACGTTACAAACACATTTCAACATATTTTATTGGGATTTCAAAGGAAATAAAAATCTAAATGAATATAAATCTAAATAAAGGAACAATCCTGAGGAAATGCTGCAATATTCTACTTTGTGCTAGTCCATAAAATAGAAATCCCTTTAAAATACATTGGGTTCTGTAACATACTGTCATTTTGTCCATTCCTTTGGCAAGGACAAACACCTGCGAGGGTTAAGGTCTGAGCAAAACGTTCACAGTCCGTGGTCTGCAGAGAAGGACCTGACTCATAAGTAGGAAGAAGACAGCTGACGAACTTAGTGAACTTTTACTACTAGCTGCTGCAGGACCGGATGATAAATATTCATGAAAAATGTGGCAGAGTGGGGCAAAAGAATGACACGGGACATCAAATTATCAGGTGCAAAGCAAGCCGGGCAGAATATATATGTACCAAGGGAGGAGATAACATGTAACAGACGCAGGAATGACAATCAGTAAAGGTCAGGTGTGAGGCAGCAGTGGTGGGAGAAGCAACAGAAGTGAACAATAAACTGGCAAAGTGACATCAGGAAGTAACCAGAATACAGAGCAATTTCAAGAACTGGCTTAACTTGGAAGGACGAGCTGAATTACAATGAGTCAAAGAGAGGCCAATTTCGTTTAAACTTTGATGAACTATCCATGTAAAACTTCAGATGCTTTAAGGAGATGAGTGTGTCAAAAAACTGTGAACGGTATTGGGAAGCTGGGTTTGCATGTCCAAAAGAATGCAAGTCATTCTGGGTGCTGAAGCAGGACCAAAGTGCTGACAGGAACTCCGGAGCAGCGTTGTGATCAGGATTTAAAGACAAAAAAGAAGGGGGAAAACTTGCAGGTTTGGCACGAGGAGAATAGAACATGGAATTAAGTGCAAACGTAGGATCTAGCAATGAAAAACGTTAACTATAGGAAGCTAAAATCTGAGGAGGAGTTGGGAGGGCAATTGAAAGCAGCTGAGTCTAATCAGAGGAATGCTGAACAGTTGTGAGAAAGTGCTGAGCAGGGAGCAGAGGGAAAAATTATTAATTACAAAAGAGAACAAAGAGGAAGCTGAACCAAAAAAAAAAAAAAACGCCAAAAAAGGAACTCCAAGCCAAGGGGGAAATGACCGACGCTAAAATAAGAGTCACAACCAATAAGCGCAGAGAACAAAACGCAAGAAATAGCTAAAAAGATCAAGACAAAGAAATTAACATATTATTAAAGGAATATTGTTAGAGTGCAATGCCATATCAAGTTTTGGAAATGCAGTGATTTTAACCAAAAATGGAATATTTTGCCTTTTCAAAACTAAAACAATCAAAGATGATCTTCCAACTTATATTTTGGTCCTTTCATTACGTTCAGTGATTTCTACTGCTAGGTCATCGCAAAAGTGTCATTTTACGCCCGAGTTAGGCCGCAATAGTTGCTTTAATCATGTTTCAAGCAAATTATGCCCTCAAATCATTATAAAACACATGACCTTAGATTAGTTTTAAAGGGAAGACTCTTCAACATCTTCTTTCTCCGACAATAAGGAACATAAATTGCATCCGGTTTTCTTCCGTTTATGATAGATGTATTTAGAGACACATCTTAAAAGTAAAACCTTTAGAAAAGTAGGAAATAATCTGCATGGCGCAATGTCACCTTTTTGCAAAGGGAGAAAACGTACATTTTATCAGTAACTTTTCTTTCTTTCTTTTTTTTTTTTTTTGTCTCTGGAGCCTAACAGAAATCCTCCTTTTCATCTCTGTACTGCAGTGGCAGGAATTCAGTGGGAAGCAGATGGGTGGAGACGGATTGACGAAGGCTAAACGGTCTCCCAGACATTCTAGTCCTGCAAGGCTTTGCTCTTTCCTCAGTCCTCCCCTCCCTCCCCGTCCACATGGGAACCACGCGTGCTCGGTTATGACTGGGCCGCCGCCGCCGCAGCCCAAATTATGAATATCGCATTTGGTGGATAGTACTTTTAAATTGCTTCATTTCTCTGAGGATGTAGCTGCCGGGTGATTCCTGGCTCTGTGCTGCAATATTAGCTGCCCGGCTGAGGAGAGTGGGGGGGACAAATAGAGATCGTCCCAGGTGTCTGTTATACAACTGTGTGTGTTCACGCGTGATTATTTGTGTTTATTTCTGTCTTGGGGTGTTAAAAGGCCATTGGAAATTCAAGTGTTTGGGAGATATATGAAATAGTTTTGGCTCGTATGATGTTTTTCTCTCTCTCTTTTTTTTTGTCAAAGCCTGGTTGGGATTTAATTTAGCTGTGCTTACGGTGGCCCTGAAGGGGAATTAAACTACTTGCGAATAAAAAAAAAAAATTAAAAAAAAAGAGAACATAATTTCTTTTGTATTGCTTCTGGAGAGTTTTCATTCGTACAGGTAACCCAGCACCTCAACATGATCTATATCATATTAATTACATTAAACAGAATGCGCAATTACTTTGATATCTGGTAGAAATACGTCGGAAATACATGACGGAGCATTTCAATTAGCTTGCTGCGTGAATTTTGAGGACACCTTACCGCATAAATCTGAGTGAGTGAAAGCTTCGAAAACTCATGAGGAACAATTGTTTAATATTTGGGCGGGTTAATGTTGCACCTTCACAGGGAGCAGCATGACAGACAGGCCAAATAATTGGACAGATTACAGAAAGACAGAATAACTCCACAGCGAAGCCCCGGGGGACCGAGGGACCCAAATGTTGCCCTACTTACTTCACGGCTAAACTGCAAACAGCCTCTTCCCTGAATCCCTCGCCGCTGTAATTTGCAGTCAATCAAAAGTGCCAAATTGGGTTTTTAAACATTCACGTTTCTCGAAGCAGCGCTCCCACACTGTTGCCACAGAAATAAACAGACACATGTCATTAGAATGAGGCATCGTTTTGCGCGTAAACGCGGCATTTACAGTCTCAGGATATTTATCTTTTCGTTGCTGGTCGTGTTCCATCGCCTGCACGCCGTGCTGCTTTCTTCCTGGCTGGAGGTTAGTTTATTTCATTTCTTCCCTTATTTCAGTTTCATCCGCATGCAAATTAGCTGCAAGGCCTAACGAGCAATCAGAACGGCGTGTCATTCATATGTAATCTGCATATTTCACGGTGGTGGCTGCAAATGAGAACGCCATCGTCGACTCGTGCGGCGCGACGCAATCGGATCGCATCTTGTGATGCACGTTGTAAACACAATGTCATAAAAATGACATTTCCCTCCACATCAGTTCGAGTTGAGCCGTGCGCGCTCCCGTCGGTCGTTCTCTGTATGCAGCAAGAGACCTGCAGCAGTTCTGGTGACAGATTTTACACTCAGTCGTCATGTGGATAAATACATTTTTTAGCATTTTGACAATGCATTTGAACCGTCAATAAGGACAGGATGTGCCTTTTTTTTTTCCTGGATTTTGCGCAGTGTTGTGAATATATCGTAGAAACAAACACTCAGCAAGCTGCAGTTGAATCAAACGCAACAAACTTCTGCCATAACTCTGGCTGAAGTTTGTTTGACCTCTATTTTTTTGGCATGAATAGAGGAGTTTATTTAAATTGTTTGGTTTCCAGGCACTGCCAAGGACATATTTTCAACATGGTTGAGATTTATAGTTGAGATCTTTGTCCTTTTGAAGCAGCCAGCTGTGCCCAGCTTCAATCCTCCGATCCAAACTGTCACCTCAGATTGTGTGAGACTGGTTTACGATGTCCATGTACAACCCAGGGACCATCACAGCTCAAGCTTACAAACTAAGAGATACTAAAATCACTTTGTTACAGTAAATACTGAAATGAACCTGAAATCAACGGCTCCAAGACTGACAAGCATGTTGGGAAGAGTGACACAAACACATGCAGATCAAATATAATATTATGCTTTTGGGAAACCTAATGAAACCAATGGACTGCAATAGAGCTGCACATTTTCTTTCAGATTTACTATTTCATTATCTTACATCAACTTTGAAAAGAAGGGTTTTAACTGCAACATCAGCATGTTTTTCATGCTTGTTTTTTTTAATGCATTAGACAAGATTAAAGAAACTTAAACTAAGTAGTTTCATTGCTAATTACCTAACTTAACACACAGGGGGGGGGGGAAGTTTATCTAAAAACAACCGTGCTACTAACATTGAAATAATATGTGTTTTTCTCAGTAACTGGACAGATGGCTTACTATCTGGGACGAATGTTTGCCGGAACCCAAATCAGAGCGACACTTTTTGGTTCTGTATTTGTTTTATTTTATTTGTTTATCTAACGGCCATATCAAGATCCAAAAGACATTTAGCAAAATTTTACTGGCCATGTGCAGGACTCCGCAATTAATCAAGCTTCTCATTTCATTATAATTTTGATTCCAAACGATCACAAAGAAAAAAAAACAAAACAAAACATGTAATCACAAAAGCTAATTGCGTTGCAAGTATGCGCTTATTTTGTAATGTCTCCAGACTGGTACTTGTTTCCTCTCCTTCGGCGGCTGATCCCTTGTTGCAAATTTGTCGCGACATTTACCGATTTCTCAGGCTTCGCTGGCAGCTTTTTGTTGTTGTTGTTGTTTTTAAGTGACAAGTAGCAAGTCCAGAAACATTTTATGTTGTTACTGGAAGTCTCCAGCGAGTGGCGGAGACATGCATTGTTCTTACTTGTCTCAACGTACAGTGGGTGCTGCCATTGGCTTTGTGTCGAACAAGTCAATGCGGTTTTATCATATTCTTGGTGTGTTCAGTTGTCTACTGTTAGGTGTGCATGACATTTTATTGTAATTTCTTGAAAGTTCCTAAGTGCATCACAGAACTACTGATGCGTGTATCAAACTATGATTCATCTGTGTGTGCTCCTCCACTGTTTGCCCTTTACCTTACAGAGCTGGAACTCTTGGGGGACGAACTGTGCTGTTGCATTCCTGTCGGTAATCAGTGAGCTTCCACTCTGAAGGTTCTTGTAAACAGGGAGCAATGCGCTGTTATGGAAAAAACAGCTTCCCATCTGTCAAAGGGATTTCACCTCCTGGGGGCTTAGCGGTGAAAATCCCTCAACAGGCATTTGTCACTGTTTTGCGCCATGCGCACAATTGTGCATTCTTGCATATGTGCATATATGCACGGGTGCATGTGCGTGTTCAAATAGGGCTAGGCTCTTTGAGCTAGGTCTCCTGTCGGAGCTGTTTCAATTTGTACATCTCTCTTTTTTTGTGGGAACTGAGCTTCCGTACAGTCCGATCAAACGTACAACCGATTCGAGATTTAAAGCATTACAGCTGATTCAAGCAATCCATCAGCAAAGTTGACCCATATGTGCTAAGTTATTAATTTAATTTTATTTTTGCAAGTCACAACATGATTTAGAAGAAGACATTATGCTTGTGTTTTGTACAAATGGCAGCAAATCTGGCCTGCGTCACCGTGAACAGATGGTGAGTCATCCTTGCCCGTATAAACTGTAAAATGTTTTGGCATCACGTTGACGCCGAGGATTTTCAGCCCTCGAATCTGTGTGTCTACCGCTTGAGCTTGCTGAGCGTCTTTACAGGTCCGAATCTTTGTGATCTGGCAATTTTAAAGATGAGAATCTTCAAACGTTGATCTGCTTGCAACGTTGAGCGGAAGATTCTGTTAATAAGCAATCTGTCGATCAGCAATATGACATTCAAAACTCGCTTTATGAAAACAAAACAAAACAAAAAAATCTACCAGGCTTAAATTTGATCTTAATACTTGCAAATGCCATTTAGAGTTTTTGACGTAAAAGTGCTGCTGGCTCTGTGGCTTCCCGAGGTTCAGCTGCAGCCCTCAACTTTTGTTGTTCATGGTAAAATGCTCCAGCCAAATGATGATTAATTTATGCTGGGACAGATTGGTCCAACTGCACAGGAAAGCCTCCCCAAACCAGTTTTGTTTGCTTCTTGAGGCCCATTATATTTATTTATTTATTTATTGGATTGAGCCCAGCGTTATCCTATCGAGCAGTTTTGCGAACCTTAGCTCGTGGTCTTTATAGTCTACTTTCTGCTCCACCAACCATTTTGATCTTGTGGGGGGAAAAAAAACAAAAAAAAAAAAAAAAAAAACATTATTTAACTTATGCTTTACAGTTACGTTCTTGGAGTATAAACATTTAAGTAACACACATAAGAATATATTAGTTTCCGCTAAATGTCAGACTAACTTCACTAAACATAAATACTGCAGAATAGTATGGTGAGGCGTTTCGTCTTTATGTTTAGTTTGGCTTTGAGTATAATCCCAATCGCAAACGCACACTGAAACGGTTCTGAGCGGACGTGCCTTTACCTGAGGAAATGTCAGGTGTGGTTAACTTCAAGGTCCTGAGTAATGTTCAAAGTCGTGGACATAAGGCTGGAAGGCTCTGCAGAGCAGATCAGAGCAGGCACTGCATGTCCAATTGGCTTTCTTGGGCTTCTCAGCAGATCACATGCAGTCTCAGCAAAGCTTCAGCTATGCTTTATTGCACTTTGGCTTAGAAGAAGAAGAAGAGGGGGAAGAAAAAAAAAAGACACACTCATTTGCACATGCAAGATCTGTTAATTAAAATATGATTACATAGTTTGTTTAGTGCATTCACCTTCAAATAAAATTTTAAGATTTCATTTTTAAGCATATAGCTTTGATGTTTATGCTTAACATGAGCCTGTTTGGTAGTAGACACCAGCTGGAAGTCACAGGCAAACTCATGTTTCTTTCTCTGTCTTCTGTCGTTGTTGGCTCGTCTTCATCATAAATCATTATCACTCCTCTGTGGGAGACGTCACACCGACGACGAGTTGGTGCCAAATAGTCAGAGTGACGGAGATGCAGCAAATCAACATATAATTTCTCACTATTATTTCCAGGATTGGAAGGAGAACAACTGTTCTGTCCCACTCCTTGTTGTTAAAACATGACTCAAATAAAGGGTTCTTAATCAAGACTGACGTGTGGTCGATGCGATTGATGGAAACAGATCCCTTTTTGACATTTTAATGAATTTCTCTTTTAACTGCCAAAAGAGAAATGAGGATGGGCCATTTCTGTTTCGGTTCTGACTTTTTAGTTTGATGTGCACAGAGCTCAGCACCCCGATTTCTTTGATTTACTGTTACCAGGAATAATTCAAATGTCACAACCTATGCTGTAATTATGGCAAATGAAAACAATTGTAAGTCCCACTGTTGTAAACATAATCATAGAAACATTACTGACAAATATTCCTGGGGAAGAAGGCATTTCCCATAGATTATTTTTTAGAACTGATGATATATGAGGCCTTTACACTTTACGTATGAGGCTTAGTAATTTTTTCCTGCATAGCAGCATTGTTGGCTTTTGCAGCCACACATCCATTTGACACATTCCTTTTTGAAAAGGTGTCCTTTTCATCAAGGAAACAAAGCCTTTTCTAGTTACAACATCAGGTAGTCATACTCTGGTGTTACAGTATCAAACAGTTATCTTAATAGAGCTTTCATTTGAAAAGGACATGGTCTTCGAGGTGCTTTTTGTGCCACAAAAGTGTGTTTTAGAACTATTAGGCATGGAAAAGAATGAAAAGTTAGGAGTGTGTTTTGTTTTGTGCTTCAAAGTTTGTTTGTTTTTTTTGTCTCCTTTCTCTGAAATTTGGCTCTTGTCGAGCACTGACCTTGCACTCTGGCCGGTAAATACCCTATTAGTGGATGGAGCTCTATAAAATAGACGCTGCATGCTGGGGCACTGAAGGCAGAAAAGTGGCGAGAAAATATTTAGCATTGAGTGCTGTCATTGTTCTTTTTTGGTTTGTCTTTATAGAGAAAAAAAAACCCCATTGAAACAAACGTGAGTGCATGTTTCAAACTGCGTCAGTGGCAGTAAAGATTTTAGTTGTCATAAGGAACTTTTCAAATACAGAACCAAACATAAAGGGTGCAGAAAAAAACAACAACTGGTATTTTGCGTAACATATAAGTAATTGAATTATTATATTGTTTTTTTAAATGACATAAATATGTACCTTAAAAACAGAAAAGCACAAAACCATACTGTATGTTAACACTTACAGATGCAAAGACATCTGTAAGTGTACAGATGCCTTTGCAGGGTTTGTTAAAAAGATTATGTATTAGAGCTAGTTTAAATTAGATCATTTCAATGTTTAGCTAGCATAATAAATTACTGGCAAAATAAAATAAATATCCCATTCTGCAGAATAACGTAATATGTTCATCTTTGGAAATTGAAAAATTTGGCATCCTCGTTTGTGGACACTTCCCAGACAGAATACTGTGAGGTAAAAAAAAATGCAGTGTATTGAAACCTCATTTTCCTTTATATCTGTCTAAACCCAGCGTTATTGCTGTCTGACCCAAAGTGTTAAGTGAGAACACTGATTTACAGCTCTGAAAAAGACTATTTTAGCCCCGTATTTGACACAGGGAAAGCTGAGGTTTGGAGGGAGGTGTTTTTAAATCCATAGTTTGCTCTGGTGTATACAGAGAAATACAGTTATGGAAGTGTTATATAACAATATTTCTTTGTCTGAATATGAACATGAAAGTTTTTTTTTTCTCTCCTTTGTTGGCCTTTCTCTTGGGAGAGCAGGTCTCACTCTTTGGTCCATCTCCAGCTCTCCAGAGTTTCACTTACAGAAGGCAGGCTAAGCCGCTTGGTACAGCCCAAGTCTGTGCTGACATGAAGCTTGCAGGGGAATTTTGCTTACTGAACAAATTTACAAAAAGTGTTGAAATGGCAGGCTTCCAATAAAGAAAACCTATGCATTTTTTGAAGAATTGGATACCTGAGAAGAGATTTAGATCAGGGATGTGTTTTTAAGCTAATCCACTATCATGCTTAAGCCATCATTAATACCGGTGATGGGAAGATTAACCGGTTTTCATCGATCCACGGACATTCACGTGATTAAGACAGTTTTAAATATCTGTGATTTATAAAGGAACATTTTAATTACACCGGATTTTACCTCAGTGTATCGGTTACATATGATATTAATGTACAAATGCAAATAAATAAATAAATAAATAAATAAATAAATAAATAAATAAATAAATAAATTGTTGACCAACAAGCACTTCCTGTAGACCGGAAGAGGACGAAGCTGTGCGGGTTGGCGCGCGCGCTTAATTACCACAACAAACATGGCGGAGCAAGCGGAACCAATATATTCACCGCCACACACATGGCTTTTGCAAGAGAAACGGAGAAATGGAATCAGCGTGGGAGACCCCTATCAGTTCATCGTCTTCAGAGGCAGATCACGTCGTTCTTCTTCCTTCAGCGCCACGCATGGTGAGACTAGCATTTCATCCCTTTTTAGCGGATATTTGGCTATTAATATCCGCTGTGCAAAAACCATAACTGATGCTGTATACCCCTTGCTGGTTTTTGTGTGTCTGGAAATTTTGCGCATGCGCACAACGCTGGAGGGCATAAAGACTATGCTACCCATAGCCGCGCTGTCGCGGTAGAACATTTCCGTGAACTAAATGAAACTTGGAGATGTAGGTACTATTGATTCAGTGCAGTGGGCCAGAGCAAAGGGAAAATAACGCAGAAGAATAACTCAAAACCACTGGTATTCTTAATTTCCCTCGCTCTCAGTGTCGGCTAGGCTGCACGCAGACCAGTTGCCATAGCAACTGACAACACGACGCTATATTATGTTTCAGGAGTCAATGCCAAAAAACACTCAAACATTTCCCACGCAAAGATTATATGATTATTAATAAATTATTAAAATTTGAATTGCTTCATTCATTTTTATTAATAAAAAATATTTAAACAAATATATTTTTCAGCTAAGTTCATTTAAATCGAGAGGCATCTTGATGAGGGCGTAAATCCTATATAATTGAATCGTTGGTTGATGAGGATGTTAAATATATCGGATGATCGTAGCTTGCAAATCCAGACATGTATCGTATCGGGTAGAGATCAGAGATTCCCACCCCTACTAAAACTATATACCTAATACAACAAATAGAAAAATAGACAATTAGATAAATTGGTTGCAAATGATTCATTTTTAAAAATGAGTCACGATAAAGCTACTGTCAGAGAAAGTGTTTGTGTGTGAAACAAACCCAAGTACATCTCTGTATGAGAATTTTGCTCTCTATTTTTTCCAAGTATAAAACATTTGTTTGAATGCAAGGCAAAGAGGTTGTTAAGGGAGTGAGAGAGACAAGCTTTAGATTTACAGTTGGAGAACTGCGGTATTTCTAGTGTGAGATAATGCCACTGCTATTAGAGATAGTTTTTTTTTTTTTTTTTTTCAAATGTAACACATTTTTGTCAGAAGTGCCATTAAGTGGGTAGGGTGCTATATTCAGTGTGTACCAGATGCAGTGTGTGGCGGAGCTTATAAAAGCTTAGATGCAGTGTTTTGGTCCGTGGGGGTAAATGGGAAAGGGATGTTGAAAATCAGAAAGCAGATCATGCGAGTTCAGTTTTAATCCCCTGTGATAGCATGGACCAAAACTGAATGCTCATTTTGGGGTGCGAGTGTGCATCTTTGCATAAAAACCTCAAGTCAGGGGTTTTTACTTACGCAGGTTTTCTAATTCAAATCCACTGAGAAAATAGTCGGTTGAGCTTTGTAACTGAAGAGCTTAGCAATTGTTTTCAAAGCTACGCTTTGTACATGTTTTTATGTTGACTCTAACTTCTTTTGTTCTATGTATTTTGATGTGAAAGATTTAGCTTGTAGCAATGTGCCTTCTAGGCCAGGAAGTTCTCAAGGGACTTTCTGCTTAAATGAAGGTTGACTATATTACTAATAAAAAAACCCAGTCCTGTAAATAGAAATCGTCAACATGCTATCGCTATGTGATATAGACAAATTTAGATAATATTAAACATCACAGCTTTTAGTCTAATTTCTGTTTGAACAACCTGTTTCTTCCACACTTGTAACAACCGAGACATTTTTTTTTTTTCTTTTTCGCTCTGGCTCTGTAACAGCTGCTCCACTGAAGGTCATGCCTGGCCATAAACCGCAACAGTTATAAATGGCTTGCAAGCGTTTTTTTGTGGAAAGATGGAGGTGATAGGAGCAGATAGACGGCAATTTAAACAAAGCAAGTTGAGGAGAGAGAAAGATCAAAGCAGAGAACGATAGTTACGATGAATAAAAGGGCTTTAAAAGATCAAAAGTGTTCACTCTGTCTTTTTGCCCACATTACTGCCCCGGGAGGAGAATTTTCCCCGTCCAAATTCGACAAAGTGAGTCACCCGTTTTCCTCAAGGTTGACCAAAGTGCATATAATTGCAAGATTTGTCTGTATCTCAGCATCGTCTATGTGTCTGTTATTCTCAAGTTTTCCTAACCCCACCGCACCAGTGAATAATAACCTCTAATTAAACATTGTGGTTGATTAAGCAGGCCTAAGAGTCTCTCTACCCATATAGGACTGAGACAACACACAAATTAAAGAGCCAGGAGCTTTTCAGGCTTCAGTGGAATAATTGGTGAAATAATATTGAAGCTTTATGGGTGTGATCGTCACAGTTTGGGGTTTTTTATTAAGAGCAACTAAGGAAACAGATATTTATTTAGTGAGTCATAAAGGTTTTTGAGGGATGAATGCAGGGCTGGATGCAAGCTTGGTTAAATTGCTGCTTTTGATCAAATAAGTGCAGGCACATATGAGAGTACGTTTCCACTCTATCAATTAAATAGCAATTGAAATGCAAAAATGTAAGCCCATGACTCTTGAGAATAGAGGTGTGTAATTTTAATAAGCAGTACAAGCAGAAGGAAATGCAATTAAAAAATCCTGCGTACACTCAGGCAGCGTAAACGAAGAAAAAAGAGGTCAATGCGGTAGAACTGAAAGTAAAGTGGCTGACAAAAAATAGACCATGTTACCAAAACATGTGTGAGGAAGTTTTTATATCTACATCTAGATGTAAAATGAAAATAAATGAATTTTAATTTTACATAAATGTCAGCCATTAGACACCAGAGACATTGACAACATGACAGATTTACCAAGAACGTAGCCCTTCCCTACCAATGGAAAAGCGAGGCAGACATCTTTATTTCTTTGTTGTAAGTTTCAATATTCAAAACCAAGTCTTTGACCCTTAAGTCAGTAATGGATTGATTTCGCCAAATGTTTGTTTCTTGTGCATTTACTGCTGCCCTTTCCAGTTATTTTTGTTTTTAAGTATTTATTTTTCTTCTTCAGCCTCCTCAGTCGCAGGTACAATGCAGCAAAGCAGGATTTTATACTATAACCTTGGAATTTTGAACTGGGGTCTAGGAAAGAAATAAATTGTATGCATGAACCTGTTTTTTCCAACTCTTATCTCCAATATATTACATAAGCAAAGTATGGTTCCATGTTAAAATATCAGAGCAGCAAGGCTATTTTCTTTTAATTCCGATACACATAGGCGTAGGAAGC